TCCCTGCCACCCTCGCCGGCCGGGGGCTCCTGTCCCGCCGGGACCCCCCGGAGCGGAGGAGATGCCCGCCCGGGTCACCTGGGCGCAGGGCACGAGGGAACTGGGGCGATCTTGCTCCGCGTCGGGGCATCCGCCCGTTCCCAGCCGGCCGCGAGCAGGGAGCTCGGCCCGGGACAAGAGGTAGAAAACGGGTACTTTTCCTGGGAAACCCGCTGCGACGCCAGAGGGGTGAGAGCGGGCCGGCGGTGGCACTACTGGGAGCATCTCAAGATTATTTGGCGGGGGCAGGAAAGGGCTTCCCGGGGGAAACTGGAGCAGAAGCGGGGGGACGCAGGCACCTACCGGCTCCTGGGCGCGAACCCCCGGGAAGGGGCGGTCGTCAGCACGGGACAGGGGGTGGTCAGCTGAGATTTTGGAAAAGGGCTGAGCTCAGGGAATACGGGCGGTTTGTACGGCTCCAGGAAGGAGGAGAGGTGAGAAAGGGTGAGCGTTTCCCGGGGGGCCAAGGGACAGGACAGGGCTTCTTCCTCTCTTTCTTACTCCTTGCTTGGTTTCATCTAGAAGTTCAGGCTGGAAAGCAAACCCAGCACAGAGGAACAAGCCCGTTTAACCCAGTCCCTGACAGGCAGCTGCTCCAGCCTCGGCGGGGAGAAACTCCGGCTCTGGCCGAGGCAAACGGGGCTGCTGGCTCCTCCGGGGCGGCCGAGGAGGGCTGGTGGCTCCAGGTGCCTCCGCACAGGGTGAGCTCCCTCCTTGCATCACGCCACGGAGGCCGGGATAGTGTTTCCAGCAGGAGACGGTGCTTCAGGGCAGGTCTGGGACACGGGCTAAAGCCAAAGCAGCAGCTGCTGGCTCCTCCGGGGCGGCCGAGGAGGGCTGGTGGCTCCAGGTGCCTCCGCACAGGGTGAGCTCCCTCCTTGCATCACGCCACGGAGGCCGGGATAGTGTTTCCAGCAGGAGACGGTGCTTCAGGGCAGGTCTGGGACACGGGCTAAAGCCAAAGCAGCAGGAAGGGGAGATTTGCAGCAGGGACCCGCGCGACGGACGTCCAGCGCAGCGGAGAGCGGGTCAGGGAGCTG